CTAACCAGTCTATCATGTGGAACCTTGTCAAAGGTTTTGCTCAAGTCCATGTGGACAGTATCTACTGCTCTGTCCTTATCAATCTTTTTGGTTGCATCCTCAAAAAAACTCAATCTATTGACAAGGAAGAGGTATTGCTTTAAAAGTTGAATAGGCATTGGGCCTATTGATTAGATGCATCCAAGGATACTGAGGAAAGTAAGAGTGGAAATTTGGAAGCACTGGCCATGATTTTTCATTCTTCCTTCGACTTATGTGGTAGCAGAGGATGGGAGAATTGCAAACATGACACATCTTTACGTTATTTCAAGAAAAACAAGGGCATAAGGATAAGCCCAGCAATTACAGATGAGTCAGTTTAACTTTTGTGTTTGGGAAACTCTCAGACACAATTCAGGACAAAGTTAATAGCCCCATGGACTAATTTGGATTAATTACGGACAACCAGCATGGAGTTCTTGAGGAAAAATCCTGCATCAAAATCCTGAAATTCCTGACTCCCACCCTCCCTTGACATAATGGTTACATACACCAACTGGATTGTAGTTCAAGAAGGCAGCTCAACGCACCACCTTTTCTAGGGCAATTAAGGATGAGCAGTAAATATTGACTCAGCCAGTGACACCCACATCCCGTGGCTGAATAAAAGAAAATCCCATTTTTGATTGACTTGCTGGAGTTTTTTTTAAAGAAGTAACGCAGGAAGTTGATTAGGGAAATACTGCTCATGTGATGTACAGCAAACTTTGTTTTAACTGGCACTCTCAATAAACCGACAAAAAGATATACTGTACCTGAAATATTGGAATCTTACTGTATTATTGCGATCTCCAAGACATCCAAGTAACCAGTTAAGGTTGCAAGTGAGAGGGGTCTCTGTTGGTAAATATTATTTAAGGCAAAGTTGCATTACTACTTAAGTAATTTATCTTGTAAATAATGTATAACAGTGATGTGTATACTCCCTGCATTACATTTCCATTACTTAGGGTATTTTTTCATTAAAAACCGAAAGAACTGCGAATGCTGTAAATCAGGAACATAAACAAAGTTGCTGGAAAAGCTCCGCAGGTCTGGCAGCATCTGTGAAGAAAAAATCAGAGTTAATGTTTCGGGTTGCTCAGAACTCTAAGGAAGGGTCACTGGACTCAAAAGGTTAACTCTGATTTTTTTCTTCACAGATGCTGCCAGACCTGCTGAGCTTTTCCAGCAACTTTGTGCTTTTTCGTTATGTGGACATCCCGATCAACTGGCACACTCCTGGTCCCATAGTTTGCTGTAGTTGGACTTATAAAAGGCCTTTGGTACAATGCAAAGTGGGCAAATTTATACCTGCTAATGTTGCTGTTCACACCCTCGCTTTTTCTGACATATATCAATGGCCTGGTTCATGGTGTACTGAGTACAGTTTCAGAATTTGCAGAGGAATAAATCTGGGGACAAAAGGTATTAAGGAATATAGGCCAAAAGGTAGAGGCCACGTGATCTCATTGAATGGTGGAACAGGCTCAAGGAAACTAAATGGCCTACTCCTGTTCCTGTGATCCTATACAAAACTTGGAAGCATTGTTAACTGTAAATGGAACTTCAAAGTGATACAGATAAGTTGATGGAACAGACAAGTAGCAGGTTACTTGCAATGTGGAGAAATATGAGGCGATTCACCTTGGTAGAAACCAATGTGGAGAGTGTAGTGATTGTAATAAAGTCAGCCTGATGGACATTACAGAGTATGAGTTCCCTGTTTGGGGCTTTTAATCTGGTCCAATCAGGGAGCCCTGGGTGACAGATATAAACAGGAACGTCAGACATCTTTTTACTCTTGAGAGCTAGCTCTGAGGAAACTGGATCAGTGTCAAGGATTTCCAATGTGTAAATAAAGGGTGACTTGCTGACAGGATACTGGGCTCTTGTGGAGTTATTTCAGACAGAAAATGTAAAGTAAAAGTACAATTCTAAATGGTGTGCAGGTGTTGGGGAACCGAGTGATTTTAAAATGGAACAGGGAGAGGGCAGGAGAATGGCACTACATGAAATGATTATTTTGTAGGACCGAATAGCCTTGTCCCGCACTGTAAAAATTCTGTAATTTTCCAATACATCAACCCAAATTGTGGGCAAAATTAGAGCTGATGAGGAAGAAAGGGGACAGTCTCCAACCCAAATGGAGAAATGCATCTCTCTGGCCTCCTTTGAACTTAAACACATTTACTGAAGAAATCAAGCACAGAAAGTGTTGAAGTCTCCACAGAGTTAAAACTCAACTATGCAGCCACAAGGTGGGGAGGAAGTGTGTGCTCATCATGAGTGATGGGTGTGGGATTGATGGAGCAGCTGATTTTCTTCCTGCCCACCATTGTAATGTGTTTGTGTAGCAGACACCTGCACGCTTTTCCTTTCCATTAATTACACTGCCTCCAAGCAAAATGGAAAAGGTTATTTGTTAAGTAGTGATCACCAGCATGATATGGTTTCCATAGCTGGAAGGTATCCAGTTCCACCATAATGGATTATCAAAAAGAACAGCCCTCATTTTAAGTCCCAGCTATTTAATACGTAAAAAAGGCAGAAATTCAGGCAACCCTGTTGCAAATACTTAATGGCACATGTGTGCAAATAGAATAAGAAAAACTACCCTTGAGTTTTTAATTATTCAGAATTTGACTGTTCTACGCATTTCGAATCGATAAGAGTCTTAAAAAAATACGAACACCAGGAACAAGAGGAGGCCTTTCATCCCCTCAAGACTACTTGGCTCTGCAGTTAGTTCATGGCTGATCAATACTTCAATGCTTTTTTCCCCACCTTTATTCCATATCCCTTGATAGCTTTACCCAGCAAACAACTATTGAATTCAAGCTTGAACTCAAATAGTTTGAATATTCATAACTTCTTAGATTGTGGAGTTCCAAATTTCCCTTACTCATTGGATGCAAAAGTGCTTCCTCATATTGCAACAGAATGACATGGCTCTAATTTTAAAACCAAGTCCCCTGCCATCATCCTTGTCAAATTCTTGATCTTCCTTTTAGAAGTAATAGTTTCTCTGTATCTGTTATATTATCAATCAGATTACCACCCAATCTTATTAACTGAGGGAAATTCAAGCCAGGTATATGCAGCTTGTCTTAATTCAACCCTCTAATCTACTTGCAAGTCATCTTACTGTTTTTCCAGATAGTATACGTAATTGATGAGAGAGCTGACCCTTTGGTGTTACCATTTTAGGAAGTTGTAATTCATGAGTTTCAATCCCTTTTCATCAATGCTAGAGACTGGTAGTGTTATGCTTTGTAAAGCTGTGGTAATCACCAGGACTGAAATGTGTTTTTTGGACAAACCATCAGCTGTCTGCTTTCTTTCTCTTGCTTTAAATAAGGGTTTGGGAGTCTGCCAGTAAGTAAAGAACAGAATGTATGCTGTCACTTTGATAACATGTTGTCAGCAACTACCTGAAAATGTGTCTATTGCGTTCCAAACGTTGAGTTGGTTACTGAAGAATCTTTCAATATAGTCTGCTATCTTTCTCCAGTTTAGATACTATAAAAAAACAACACATTGCTCAGGGCGATAGGAAATTGTTTTATTTCAGTCTTTTTCTCATCACGGCAAACATTATTTATCAGAACAGGAATGGGTATTCAGTTCTCTAATAAATACTGGATACTGCTTTGCTGGAAGTCTAAAATAAAAACTGAGAATGCTGGGGAAACTCAGCAGATCTGACAGAATCTGTGGACAGAGAAACCGAGTTAACATCCAATTGTATCCAAAGGACTTCCTTTCAGAACAGAGATTTGGTTCCAAATTGAACTCTATTTCAAAGAAGAGTTATATCGCATTTGAAATGTCAATTCAGTTCTTTGAGTCTGTTTCACCGTTCAGTTAGATTTGTATCTTGACTGTCTAGATTCTGTAACATTGATACCTCACCTAACCCAGGCTGAGTGAGCAGTTCTGATGGAAAATCTGCCACTTGGTAAATTAGCCCTACTGCCAAACAGGCTGCGCCTGGGCTAGCAATGTTCAACGTCAGGTCAGTTGTATTGATACAATACTGTGATTGATTCATTCAGCTGTCTCCTGACAAGCAGCTAGGAAGGGCCCAAGTGTCATTCATTATATCTTCAAGATTTTACTCATTGATAAACATTATAACACACAATGGTGGAATACCTCCAACTCAAAGGAGAGATGTAAAGTGACAGATCACCACAAGAGAGAAAAATAATAAATTATAACAAACAAAAACATAGAACATAACAGTGCAGTACAGGCCCTTCAGCCCTCGATGTTGCGCCGACCTGTGAAACCAATCTGAAGCCCATCTAACCTAAACTATTCCATTATCATCCATATGTTTATCCAATGACCATTTAAATGCCCTTAAAGTTGGCGAGTCTACTACTGTTGCAGGCAGGGCATTCCACACCCTTACTACTCTCTGAGTAAAGAACCTACCTCTGACATCTGTCCTATATCTATCACTGTTCAATTTAAAGCTATTTAAAAGCTATTTAAAACGCTTTTTAGGGAGACCTTTATTAATGATTTTCATGACAGATCACTACAAGAGAAGAAAAAGATAAATTACAAAAACAAACAAGCATTTTATAGGGAGACCTTTATGAATAATTTTTGTAACAATGCTTATTTTGATGTGCTGTACTTTATCTTCAGGTCCCTTCCTGCAATCACGTCCCTTTTAAAGCTTCATACAGAGAATTTAAACCATCCACAATTATTTGGATTCCAAATCAAAGTGAGCTTTAATAACTGGCTCTTGAATCTGCATTAAACAGCATAAGATTAATACAAATCAAATAAACAAAGCAAAGATAGTGAATATTATTTCAAAGAATACCTAACACTGTATCTGGGTAACCTTCTTAACTACAGCATATTAATGTAAAAACTTGTTCAGTCCCTGCCTTCTCTAATGCAGTTTTAAATTTTAGGCTCTTCCTTCCACTCAGCAATTTTCTTCATGGTAGAAAACAAACTACAGGATAGCTCAAGGATACCAGATCTCCATGGGCTTAGTCCTTGTGTCCCCATCACATCAGGAGCTGTGGAGCATTGTTATGGGAGGTTTGAGGAGGGATAATGTTCGTTGTATAAACCTATCACTCATTCAGAAGTAAGCATGTACTGCAGTTGTAAACCATTTGTAAATCAAGCACTTTCTTTTTCCTTTTTATTCTTATGCTGAACGTTTATTTATTATTCTTTAAATTTAGTACTAAATACTTAAGTATCTGCACCCACGTATCTTGTCCCTAAGATGGTGCCATTGGCGGCAACATTGCAAATTTTTCACCGCACTCATTCGAGTGCATGTGACAGTAAAGCTAATTCAATTCAATTTGATTTAAACTTCAGCTGGGTGAATCATGCCATCTCACTGGTGCATGTAAAGCCACTCGAACATGCTCTCCTCTCAGCTGTGACTGATCAACTGCGTAGTTTTTATTTAATTAAGGTTTTTGTTGGCAAGGAATTGTTTAGAAGCACATTGATGATTTGGTATATTCTGAATCGTTTTGGTGAAAATAGAAGCAATACTAGAACACTGTTACTTCGCTTTAGAACTTTTTGATGTGTTATGGATATCATTAGTTTATTCTGCGCATTTAGAACCCGACCCAAGTCTTTTGGATTAGTTACACTTAATAACAATAGGCTGTGTGTGCAGTCTGTGCCAGGAGTGAGGTGACAGTAATGATGTTGCAGGACATTCCCTCAGGGCCTAACTGTTTTAACACAACACTGATTGACAGTATCCAGTTTCCCTCAATATTGTCACATGTATGCATATTTACTACCCCACATTTAACAAAGGTAGTCAGTATAGATTGTAATATCCCTAACAGCATGTACAATATGGAATACACTGTGTTGAGATTGCTTCAGGGAATTCACAGCACTAAATAGTTGCACACAGCAAATGAAGTTTTAAATACAGCTAAAACAATTATAACACAACTTCCATCATTAGTTGATGTAGATTAAAGCAAAGGGACATTAAACGTGGTGGGAGGCAGGAAAAAACAACAGAAGTAACAACAATTCAGCTCTCTAGTCGTAGTTCTATCTCAATCATTAGTTCATATTTCAGGAAGCTTGTCACACATTGCCAGGTGCTTCCAAATGTACAGGAGGCAACTGAAGTGATATCTTTTGAAGAAACAGTATGATATTAGCAGTGATGAGCACTGACTTCCTTTGCTCTTTTCAGAGAGTCGCACTACTAGCCACCCAATCACACAGGCTCTTCCATAATAGATATGCATGACTATGCAATTCCATTTTCTTTCTGCAGATTGGACCCCCCTCGGGTACAGACAAAGTGAAGAAAGGTGGATCCTACATGTGCCATAAGGTAAATTTGAAGTCTTTTAACTACAAATAGCATGACCTGCAAACAGTATAAAGTATGTCCAGTCCCAAATCTAATGCAGAAAGAAAATTTGAAAAACATTTAGATTACATGACAGTGAAAGTGGGTTGCTGCAGTGCGTCTTGGAAACAGTGCACATTGACATCGGTGATAGTGGGTGAGAATATTTCTAGTGATGGATAGAATGCCACTGAAGCAGGCTGCTTTGTCCTGACAGTGTCAAGCTTCCTGAGAGTTGTTGGAACTGCACTAATTAAGGCAAGTGGGGAGTATTCCATCACACTCGAGTTGTTCCTTGTAGGGGCTTTGGGAAGACAGGAGGTATTTGCCTGCTGCAAAATTCCTAGCCTCTGACCTACTCTTGTAGCCACAATACTTTATGCCCATTTTTCTAATCAACCTGTCAGAGATGTTATTATACACCTCTGGACCAAGTGGGACTTGAACCCAAGCCTCCTGGTCCAGGGATATGGACACTACCACTGCACCACAAGAGGGCCCTTAAAGCTTTGGGAGAAAGGTACCACTGAGATTTGAACCAAAGATCTTCTATTTATTAGACAGTCACTTCAATATGCTAGGCCACTGTGCCACTCAGCCACCCACTCAGTACCAACATGGTGAGTCCACTTCAGTTTCAGTTCAGACAGGAGACCAATCATGCAGAATTCAGAGATAGTAATTGTAATGGAGTCAGGCAGGTGCACCTCATAGAATAAGAGTTCCCTGATTGGGGCTGTTAACCTGGTCCAATCAGGGAGCCCTGGCTGACAGTTTTAAACAGGAGTGTCATAGGTTCTGTTCATTCTGAGAGCTAGCTCTGAGAGAGCTGGATCAGTGTCAAGTACTACATACGTGTAAATAAAGGGTGATATAGTGATGGGATACTGGCCTCTGGAGTTATTTTAGTAGTGATGAGAGAAAAAATACACTCCTGAAGAAATTCACTTGCAGCAGTCATCTTTGAGTTGGAATAAGCATTTCTGACATCATGCTGCTATTCGGGAAGCTTGACTCGTTCGATTCTGTTGTCGAAGACTGGGCCCAGTATGTGGAAAGAATGTGTTTTTTTTTCCTGAGCACATGACATTGGAGCAGATGAAAAGCAACGAGTAATTCTCCTGACAGCTTGTGGATCCACAGCTTTTTCGGCCATTAGGAACCTAATGTTTCCCAAGGCACCAGATAGTAAAACCTTTCAAGAGTTGACAGATTTAGTTAAGGAGAATTATGACCCCAAGCCTCCTGTAATTCTGAGGCGCTATTAGTTTTACTCAGCAGTTCAAGAACCAGGGGAATCCGTGTCAGGATTTTTGACGAGGTTAAGATGACTGGCAGAGGCATTTGGCTTTGGTTTAACCCTTAATGAGATACCAGGAGACCATTTGCTATGTGGGTTTAATGATATAACCATACAAAGGCTCCTACTAGCTAAAACCCACTAGACATCAAACAGGCACTACAACTGGCTTTATCATCGGAAAATGTGGTAAGTGGAGCATATGAGTTGCAGAGTATTCCGATGGAAGTGGAAACCCTCACTATCCACCTGAACTTGGGAAATACCACTTGAGTGAAGGCAATTGCATAGCCTCACTCAGGACATATCCTGAACAGAGGGACTCTACGTCAGCCCACAGCAAACTCTAAAACAAAGCCAAGCCTTGGCCAAACTGTTAAAATTTTCTTCAGGATCCAGGCTGGCAACCCATTGCAGTTGCTGCTGGTAGCGGACTCGAGACAGCAAGAGTTTCATGGACCTAAATTGAGTAAGACAACTCTTAGGCTGAAATCCAGGGGAGTGCACACCCTGGAAAGTCCACTGACAGCTGGTTTGGAACAGTTAAATTGCTTAGCAACATCCAAATCAGAACTAATCAAAATAAACTTCTGGTTAAATGGTCACCCGGTTCTCCTGGAGGTCGATACTGGCACAGCCATTTCAGTGATCGTAGAACCAGTCTTTAACAAACTTCATTCTGGACTCCAACCCTTATGTTTGCGCAAGACCTCGGCTAGACTGAGAGGCTATACCAGGGAGCCCCTACAGATTAAGGTACAATTTTGGTTCTGGTTTCTAGTCAGAAGCAGCTGGTTCAGTTACCACAGAGGGGGCAAAATTGATTGAGAAAGATTCACCTTGATTGGCTCAACATTTTTCGATTAGAAAATGGCTGCCCAAGTGAAGTCCTAATTAAATACCCTCAAGTTTTTCACAAAGGTCTGGGGACTATCGAAGGGGCCAAGGCCACCTTGCATGTTGACCAGGAAGCAATTTCACATGGCCCATTGTCTGGCTGAAAGAGCAGTCTAAACCTTGAAAGCACGTTTAAAGAAGCAGCCTACAGCTTCACTCAATACCAAACTGTCCCGGGTCCTATTTGATTATCAGACCAGCCCTCATGCAACTACAGGGATAATTCCAGTAACGAATGGGGAGAAGACTCTGCAGCGGGTGAAATCTGATCTTCCCGGACCTGGGGTGGAGCGTGAATCAGCATCAGGAACACCAACGCCAGACACAAGACTCCTCTAAGCGAGAGACACAGTTTGGTGCTGACACCGAGGAAATGGCCCCGCATGGGTAAGGGGCATGGTTGACGCAAGGTCAGGTCCTGTGACGTATAAAGTTCAGGTAGGTGAGGTGGTCCTGAACAAGCACGCGGACCACATGAAAGCTGCAAACTCGCACATGGGGCAGGAGGATAACATACCAGCCCCTCAGAACAGGCGGAAAGGCAGCTGGTATCCGAGGCTGAGTCAGAGAAACCAGAAAATTTCCCACGAAAGGCCACAAGAGAAATAACAGGCCTATGTTACCAGACTCAGAGGTGGAAGGATATAGTGTTTGTAATGAGGTCAGCCAGGTGGACCTCATTGAAGTGATTTCCCTAATTGGGGCTGTTAACCTGCAATCAGTTTACTGCATAATTCCCTGCACTCAAGCTTTGCCTGGGCTCCTTGATGGTACACTCCACCAAATGCGGCCTTGCTGTTACTTCTATCTCATCTCTAGAATTCATATTTTTTTGGATTAACTCTATAATGAGGTCAGGAACCAAGTAATCCTTGCAAAATCCAAACTGAGCATCAGTGAGCAGGTTATTGCTGAGTTGGTCTTAACAGCACTGTCAGGACTTGGCTTTTGATTAGGAATATACTTATCAGGTAGTAATTGGCCAGATTGAACTAGTTCTGATTTTGTGAACAGCTTAGCTACATTAGAACAGTTTGGTTAGGGGTCAGCCTTTCTGGAGCACATGTTTCAGTTCTACAGCCAGTACGTTGTCTGTAGTCCTAGTTTTTGCTGTATCCCATGTCTTCAGCTGCTTCTTGATGTCATGTGGGTGAACTGAACTGAACTGTCTGAAAACTGGCATCAGTAATGCCGGGAACCTCAGAAAGAGGCCAACGTGGATCATCCATCCACTCGATACTTCTAGCTGAAGATATTTGCAAATGCTTCAACTTTGTCTTTTGCATGATGTGGTGGGCTCCCCACCGTCACTAACGATGGAACTGTTTGTGGAGCCTCCTCCCCCTGGTTAGTTGTTTAATTGTACATTATCATTCACGGTTCAATGTGACCTGATCCTTTAGTTGTGAGTTCCCTCAGCTCTTTTTATCTCCTGTGGCTGCCACTGTCTAGTATTCATAAAATCCTGTGTTGTAGCTTCACCAGGTTGACACCTCATTTTTAGATAGGTCCTCTGCTGCTCCTGGTATGTCCTCCCACACTCCTCATTGAACCAGCACAGATTCCCTTGGCTTGATGTTTTCATGTAGAAAGTGGGAGATGCCAGCCCGTGAGTTTACAGATTGTGGCATTTGTTGCTGCTGATGAGAGAGGGGGTCTGGTGACTGCCCAGCTTTGAGGTGCTGGATCTGATCTGAATCTATTCCATTTAGCTTGAGTTAATGCCACACAACGAAAAGATTTCAAGCGTGACCCTTTTTCAGGAATAACTGCTGTGGCTGGTGAAAGTTTGTGACCAAAACAAAGCCAAAAGGGCTAGGACATAGTGTACAGCTTAAAAATACAGAGTGGGCAACCACATTGAAGAGTTCAAATGCAAATTCTGATTCCAGGAAAGGTGTGTGAACTGCAGGACACTGTGCAATTGGATGTAGGAAAGACAAACAGTATTAGGGAATAAAAGGGAGTATGTATGGAAGAATTCTGGATCAATTTACATAGCATTAAACAAGCTTACGCTTAATCCTACATTTTAAATGGATAGAACAGCTTTGAATTGAATTGAATTGATTTAAGTTTATTGTCACATGTGGTTCAGTCGTTAGCACTGCCACCTCACAGCACGAGGTATCCAGGTTCAGTTTCACCCTTGGACAATGTCTGTGTGAGATTCTCTTTGTGTCGGCGTGGGTTCCCTCCGGGTGCTCCGGTTTCCTCCCACAGTCCAAAGATGTGCAGGTTAGACAAATTGGCCATACTAAATTATCCCATAGTGTCCAGGGATATGTAGGCTTTGTTGATTAGCCATGGAAAAATGCAGGCTAACAGGGATAGGGTAGGGATCTGAGTGGGATGCTCTTCAGAGGGGTGGAGTGGTCTACTTCCACACTGTAGAGATTCTATGAGTACAGTAAAAAGTCCCCATGTCGGCCCAATCTTAGGCACAGAGGTACTTAAGTACAGACCCTTAGTTACTAAGCACAAAAATAAGGAAAACAAAGTTAAACATTGTTTTTCTACTTTTTAGTAAGGAGGACTACAAAGAAACACAGTTAACTGTTCAACACCACAGTCCGTAAGTGCCTGGCATGCTGGGCTTGCACTCATCACAAGAACTTGACCTCCCTCACCTCTAGGCTGGATCTTGCCCCCACTGCCACTCTGCTCTTAACACAGGCTGCCTGCTCCCACTCTTGCATCTGACAGCCTCGGGCTGCCTGCTCCCGCTCTCACCTCCAGCATAGAATGTGAAGATGGAATTGTGACTTTGACATTGCAAAGAGTG